TCAGTTCAACATCCACCTCAATAGATACACAAATTATAAACTTATGGACTTAGAGGTTTTGATGTGCTGTACCTACTAACATGCTAAGTAAGTGCTGATAATTTACTTTTTTGCAATGTGGAACGAATTTGAGTCTGTTTTTTCTAAAACTCGAATGCTAAAAAGTTTCATATCTAATCTCCAAAATATTTTGAACTTCAAATTGTTGACTTGAGTACATTTATATAACCGTCGACAGGGAACTAAGAGGAAATAAGCCACGTGAGAGAATGAATTGCGTGGTCATCTTTTTACGAGAAGTTTATGTGGCACAGAAATGAATGTGGAATTAACGATGCCACTAACCTACCTGCTGAACGAATTTCATATTAACTCATCAATCTTCATTCATATTTATATTTTTGCAGTTGTACAGACCATTCGTGAAATTTACTTTTTACACGTCAGTGTTGCAAAGTTTGAATTTTGTAGAAGGATAAATGTTTTTTTCTTATAATTACTTAATTAGTGAGACAAAGGTTCTTGGAAAAAGAGCAGCGTCTGCTTAATTAGCTTTCTGAAATAATCCACTAATCAGAAAATATGAGAAAACTGCTTAAAATACGAGGAAACTTTTGAAGGTTTTGTTACGCTGAAAATGGCGGACGAAAAAAATTTGAATGCCATCAAATAAATTTATCGTTGAAGGCTTATTGAAATATTTATACGAAAAATTTATTAAATTAAATTAGAAGCTATAATTAAAATAATTTTAAGCTTTTTAAAAGTTATTTAAAATAAAATTATAAGGTAGGAAGTATGTTATAATTCAAGATGAATAAAGATTTATATTTGTATGAATACCAATCTTATTGTCACACATGTGTTGATACATTCAATGCGCCATATTTATTATGGTATAGTTTATGTATATGATATGTATAGAATATTTATAAGCTGTGTATAAATTAGGTATGAGATATAGTAGGCATAAATATATGGTTCGTATGAAGTTAATGTTATATTTCATTCAACCAATTATTAAAGGTAATTACAGGTTTCAATGATTTGGCAGTCAAAAAACGCCATGTCGAAAATATTTTCTCACAAAAACAAAAAATAACACACACAACATAATTTACTTAAGAAGACTTACAACAACACACCTGCCACGCAACAAAATAGAACAACAACACGCCATCATCAACAACAGCAGCAGCAACAGCAGCAACAACAGAAGAACAGATTGCATAAAAACATGTCAAAATGCTTTACTGCATCTTCTCACACAACAAAGAGATAAAACATTAAGGTGACATTTAACAACTTACACAGTACAATAAAATATATATATAACAGGTGCAAAGACATCAAAGAAACCTTATATCATATCTTAGCACACCACGCCACGCCACACAACATCACTCTATACAATATAAATAATTTATAACAAGTATGGAAAACATAAAAAAAAACCATGGATTGGAGTTTCAGAGGAAAGCGATTAACTTCGCTATGGCAATCAATGACAAAATGAAAAGCATTTTTAATGAGAGTAGCGTGATAAATACGGCGTGAAATTTTTTTGACCGTTTTTGAAAGTTTATTCCAGATTAATGAGAGGATATTTCGCGAAAAACCTAAAGACTTGAATATGAATGATGTTGTGTTGTTGTGAAGTTATGTGATGTCAAGTTATATGATGTGTGTGATGTCATGTGGTGTCGTATCACGTTAAAACAAGAAACAAATACTTCAACACAACTGAAACAACAACATTTATCAAAAACAGCCAAGAAACATTGCGTTTTGACATTGATAAATAAGTAGAATTAGATAAAAAGAGTGAAACCAGACAATAACAATAACAAACAACCACACTATTAAAGAAAGACACCATCACAGAGTAACATCAAAATCACTAAATAATGTGATAAAAAATAACAAGATATGGAAAACATCAACAAATACAATAACAACAACAACATCAACAACGCCAACATAGGTAATACGTCAAACAAAATTTAACGTGTTTAAAAACACCTGACAAAACATGGAACATTAATTAATTGCAAATCTTTTTATGCCATCTTTTCATCCTTTATCGCTCACATCAAAAATAGCTCTAAAAGTTATTTTTGGCGCTAAAACAAAATGTCATCAGCCAGTAAAGACATTTTATGACATGACTTCAACATGGCTGTCGTCCATGAATATTAATCTTTTATTTAGAAATCGAACGAAAACTTACAGATATATAATGAATAAATAAAAGACTGTCCATAAAATATTTCAAGGTTTTTTTGCCTTTGTTGACTGCATTCTTGTTACAAACTGTTACAAATTTTTAACCCCACCCTCATTTAAAGCATTCAAAAAATTTTTTACCTCGTTTGCCAGTTTTGAAAATTACCATTTGACATTGTTTTTTTAACAGTTTATGATAAAAATTAAAAAAGTGCAAAACAAAACTGGATGTCACATACATTAAAACTACGCTACCTCCTTCTCTCTTATCACAAAATGTCACAAATTTTTGGATCATTTTCGGCCAAAGCGTGACACCCCCTATGGATCGCCCCTAAATTAAATAAATACATTATATTGAAAAATCAATTAAACCACAATAAATGTAATTTTCAAACAAATGAATGAATAAAAAATATTGGTAAAAAAATAAATAAAAAAAATTTAGTTACTTAATCAAAGTTGCTCTCTCTTTTTCTCCCTCTCTCTTTCTCTCTCTTTCTCCAACTGATAGCAAAAACAAATAAAATTTAAATGAACTGTTAAAAACAACAGAATAAAAGAATAAACAAAAAACCCAAACAAATGAATGAATGAATAAAAAAAATGAATGAATAAATGGATGAAGGAATGAGTGAAATGAATAATAAATAATGGATGAATGAAAGGATGAATGGATGAATAAACGATCGGGATAAAAACAAAGAAACAAATAACATGCGTGTGTGGATGGTGCATGCTGAAAGGATGAAGTAGATGTTGATAAATGCTCTCTGGATCGTCGAATGTACAAATTATTTCACTGCCACAAATAGCATGATGAACAGCGATAACAAACTGGCTCGTTTATAACAAATACTTAAACGTAAAAACTTTCTTATAAATTGGAAGTTCGTCTTTAACGTACCAATGTTCATACGGATTTATTAAGGAGATGACGATTTTTTGATAAAAGTACCAAGCAAATACTATAAAGTTGACAATTGAATAGAATTATCTGTATTGTTGTAAATTGAAAAAAAAATATTTTGAGATCCTATAAGCAAGAAAGAATTTGTTAAAGACGTTGTTACAAGCTCAAGAAATCCATCTGTGAAGTTGACTGAAGGGGTAAAGTGAAGTTGACTGAAGGGGTACGAACTTCTTATTCAAATGATGGTTTGGAGAGATAACATAGGTACGTGCCGATACTAATTAAACTGTGAATAACTGAAACCAAAAATGTTGGCAATTAATTAATTAATTAAGACGCAACTTCCCATTTGAAAAATTCATAAATTTTAAAGGCAATGAATTAATTTTTAAATAGAAATTTAATAACCGCGCTGCTACAAAAATGTACGGACAACCAACTCGACAACATACACTTTTTGCAACAGCATAAACACAATCACTAACCATAATGCATTCAACACACCAAAACAATAAAACAACAACATCACATTACAACCATCTCCAAACAGACAAACGATTAGCAATTAATGTCCCATTCATGACAAAAAACACACCGGCACAAAACTGAGACACTGAGCATGTTTATATAAAGTGAAATCGAAACTGAAAGATATAAATAAATGATGTGATTTTATCGGCTTCAACTGCAACAAGCGACATCAATAAACAACAAAATAACAATAAAAAAATATGAAGAAGTAAGAGTCGCAACGACGACAGCAGCAACATCGTTGGTTTTGTTACTGCTTCAGTTATAAATGTAAAAAGAGTTGATCCAGGCGATTACAAAGATCCAGATGACAAATAGCAACATGCATCATTAACATGTCTCCAATCTTCTTGATGGATATATTTTCTCGAGGAAAAACAGCAACTAAAAAAAATGTACACTACAAGATTTATTTTTTTGTTAAAAACTAGATAGAAACACACTCCACTTTTGAGAAATTGCATTGTTAAGCTGTTTCAGTAGCCGAGACCATACCATGCAACCATGAAGTACCACACAACTTCATATTTATCAGAATAAAAAAATTTTCAGATTTTAAATCTCCACTTTTTCTTTTTGTCTATGTTTTTATCTCGCGACCACAGATACAAAATTTCATCAAATCTGATTATGAAACTAACTAAATTCAATTTATTCTATTGCACAGTAAGTTATAGGCATAAAAATGTTCGTCCTCACCGTCATTATTGTCGTCACCATCATCATCGTCATCATCACATCATCATCATCATCGTCATCACATCATCATCATCATCATCATCATCAAGAGCATATAACCATAATCATCATCATCAGACCCAATAAAAAACAAGACTCTAATCACCATCAGTTACAGCATTACAACAATGGATGAAGAACACAACAGAAATGAGCAACATGTACCTGTGATTAATCATAATATTCGTCATCGATGTCTCATGCGTACGTGTGTGTGTTTGTACGTGTGTTTGTACCTGTGTGTGTGTGCTTGTACGTGTGTGTGTTTGTTTGTACGTGCGTACGTGTTTTTGTACGTGTGTGTATAATGTATATGTGTTTGTACGTGTGTGTATTATATATGTTTACGTGTGTGTGTTTGTATAATTTCAATAACATCAGAAACAATCTTGACAACAACAACTTTGACAACAACTTTGATAACAACTTTGACAACAACAACAACAACGTCTTTGACAACAACAACAACGTATTTGACTACAAAAACACAACAACAACAACTCAACAACAACAACACAACAAAAACAACGACGACGACAACAACAATATAACAACAACATTAATTTCATCAACACCCATAACGCTAACTGACCAACAATGCAGAGGGGCCTCCTGATAAATTGCAACCGGCCACTGAGATGCTGATACCGGGATCGACAACCAGATGACCAGACCCTAGCTAGGAACTCCACGGAGAACCAGACAACCATTATCAGTTCCTACGTTTGTTGGATTTGTGTGGTGCATAACAGAATGTTCTATACATTACATAACCTAACATTAACGTAACATTTACATAACAATAACATAACATTAATATAACTTAACTTGAATCAAGAGAATAAAAAGATGAACATTTGTTTTAAGAACAATCAGCAAAAATTCTCACGGCAAATTTACAATTCTAATCATAAACAGTACATACATTATTTACTTTATTACATATTATACTACATATTACATTATAATATACTATTTGGATAAACTTTTATGAACTTGAAAAAAAATTGTTAAAAGTTAACTGCGACAACAATTGTGTTAGACATGATTTCATTTTTTTAAAGAGAAGCAAAATGTCACGACCCGTTTTGCTTTCAAGTTATTTGGTGAGCATATTGAAGCGTATGAGCCTTCATGAGGCACTTAGGTTGTTCTATGAAAAAGTGACTTACGTGCTACGCGCGTATTCCAGCTGAATGTTCCTGGGTGCATTCTGATTTTTGCGTGAAAAATTATCAATTAAGTTGCGTGTGACGGAACGTTGATGATGCGGTGGAAGCAAGCATAGAAGAGTTTGAATGATCTTTTTAGTACCTGCTGATTGCTTCCAATCTCTTCTTTTAACTTCTTCTTCAGTCAAACGACCAACAGATGTTTAATTTGTTGCTAACTTAACTGCGGTGTTTTTTTAATGATTGTGTACCTCAAAAATATGTTACAATAACACTCTGCTTAAAAACAATTTCTTGAGGATTTTTGCGCAAGTATGTTTGAGTTTACTATTGAATATTTTTGGTGCAAGTTCCTGGTCCAAATATTAATTGAGATGACCTCATTGTATCTATTGTTCCTCTTATTTGCAGAGGCATTTACTTTATTAAACTCAACACACAGCCGTCTCTTTCAGACTGAGTTGCACATGAAACTCGTAAAAGTAATTAAATGGGCATAAGCATTACTTGCCGCAGAGCGCCACACGCAAATATGCCTCAAAGGCACTTAAGCATACGAAGCTTTTAAAAGTATTTCCCGAATTATCTATTCTACTTCATACTGTGTACATGTTGTACACGCAGTTTTATGTACATGCGAGCTTCAGGTCATGTACTTCAAGCTTGTAATTGTTTGATGGTGTTGAGTTTTACTCTGCTTGCCTTTGAACCTGGTCAGTGCACCGTGATGAAAGAAATACTTCGTACATGAAAGTTTAGTCATATTTTTTATAATCAAAGTTGTCGTTTAATATAACTCAAACGCATTTTGTTTCACGACGGCTCTTCCTACTTATATACGCCATTGTATTGCTCGCAACATAATGTCACTCCGCAGTTTCTGTCAAGACAACAACGAGCTAATGCGTGTTAAAATTCAACCGCAATGAATCTTGTTTCCAACAATATTGCTTTAGCTGGTGATTTTAATCGCGTAAAATAATAAAAAAAATTCGTTATAGAAAAAAAAATGGATGGAATTTCTACGCTAGATAAGAACCAGCACATCATTTTGTTATAGAGACTAAAAACCACAATTAAAAATAATTGCAGGTCTGGACTTGACTGACACCATAAAAAATGCTCAAGATCATTTTTTGGATAAATTTAAAAAAGTCACACAAACATTTTAATCCATCATGCTGACAGAATAATATATGGTGAAGAATGAGGATGGAGTCATTACTCTATTGCGGGGTCAACCACCTACTACATGCACATGTATGTATGTGTGTGTCTGTGCATACATGCCTCTCTGCACGTTTATGTGAGTGTAAACTTGTGTGTGTATTTTCGCGTGTGTGCATTCATGTGTATGTTTGCGTTGTAAACGCATGCGTGCATGAGTTTGTTTACATGTGTTTGAACTCCAGTGTGTCTGTGTGCTTGTGCGTGTTTGTGGGTTTAGTACTGTGCATGTGTTTTTCTGAATGAGTTTGCAATCATGTGTGTTCATATGAGTTTGTATGTATGTGTGTTTATGTGTGCGTGCATGTGCGTGTATGTTGACGGTCATTTGATATCTCGATATGTAGAAGACTTTTGTGCACCAATTTGCACTTGTAAGACGTGCGGGAACTTTACGAAATATTGTTTCTACACCACACATACACACCTGATTTATATATATTATTTATGTACACACACGTACATGTGTGAATATATATTTCTGTTTTTGTCACATCAGATATAACAATTTTTTAAAGTTCTTATTACCAACAGTCGAATCAGAATCGACGTTGAATTTTGAGTGAAGTTCATCCAGCACACGAAATGGCACTCACACAAAATTTAGGATAACAAGCAAATGAAGTATGAGGATAGGTAAACATTCACTCTAATCTATTCCACACACTCAGACACACATTAAACCACATATAGAGATACACACAACCACAAAAACACACAGACACATAGGCAAACTTATAGGCACGCAGTATTGTATGATTTACAAAGCAAATTGAAGTCAATTTGTTAGGCAGGCAGATTAAAGCGCGATCATTTTTGTACATTGTAAAACGTGACGAAGAAGCCTTTGAATCGTAAGTTTTGTTGTTGACGAAATATGTTGTTGCTGTTTGTTTGCACTTGTTCTCAATGTTTGCGCTGTTCATTCAGTGCCGGCGTTCATTTCAAATTTGTTGATGTTCCTGTTAGAGGCATATTGTAGGCTGGTGTCAATGGCCTTCTGGTTCATATTTGGGTTGGCAACATGTTGTTGCGGTCTTCGTTTTGTTGTTGACATTTGGTGATGTGTTGTACTTATTGCGGTGATGTGTTGTTGTTGACATTTGGTGATGTGTTGTTGTTTTTGTTGACGATGCCGCCTAAGTTATTATTTGATCAACAGCGCAGGTTATTACTCTAAATAAAAATTTACATTTAAAATTATTTTTTAAGGAGCTCAAATTTTTATTTTTTAAGCTTTTAAATTGCGGCTTCAGATTTGATCAAAAAAATTATTTTTTTGATTTGTAAGAATGATATATATATATATATATATATATATATATATATATATACATACATACATACATACATACATACATACATACATATAACAAAAACTAAAAAATATAAATGCTCATACATTTTAGTATAATCTTTTCAATACTGCATTATAAATAAGAGACGCTAATGATGTTTGTGTTGCGGTCAGCCTAGCGAACATTGTTCTTGTAGGTCAGTTTGTTATCGTCCAGCAGATTGAGTGGCTGTAATTGCTGGCGGCGACGATGTGGATGAAAATGTTCATTCCACTGATTGCCGTTCCCAAACTCTTTAACCTATTTCTTCTTAATTTTTTCTGATTTTTTTTTCACGTTGGTAGCCATTTTTACAAAAAAATTTATCAACTACTATTTAATTTGTCCGTGCAGTCAATACAAAAATATTTCTGGTGTTTTTTGCTGCAAAATGTTTTAGCAAATACGTTAATGACGCGTTTTTTATATAAATTTAAAAATTAATTTTAATTTTTGTTAAATTTTGCTAAATTGAATTACTAACTCTATCTAGTCCACGTAAAATATCAAAATAATCGGCCATTCATCTGTGAAATAATCTGAATGAAATAACAGAAAAAAGCAATTTGGTTAAAAAAATATGCCACTAGATTGATGATGTTGATACGAATAGGCAGATGTCGTGTCTTGGATAACACTGTAGTTATTGTACTGTTATTTCATTGTTGTTACTGTAATGTTACTTTTTTGTTACATTTTACAAACGTTTAATAAAATGTGATTTCGCCTGATAACGCGTGTAAGAAAAAATAAGTAATTACCAATTAATAAATTATAAAATAAAGAGAAACATACAACTTTTCCATCAATAAATGTGACTGAATTAAAAATAATATTTTCAAAACACATCCAAGTATTTTATGTACTGTAGTAGTTGCATATAATTGTGATCAAGATAACATTACGAACTACGTGATCAAATAAAAAAGTTAAGCGCTACAGCATAGAGTAAAAAACAAAGATAAAAAAAGAAACTGAAATTTACGCAATAAAAATTCTTTTAATAAAATTTTATTAAACAACCATTAAGCAGGACTGCATAATCCCATAATTTTTTTAAATGAAAAACACAGGGATGTAACCATTACATGATGCAACAGTAGTGAGATAACATTGTATGCAAATATAACCCAAACAAATGCTACGATGGGAGTGACTCTTAAATCAGCCCACAAAAATTCATATAACATGGATGATACACAAAGGCAATAGAACAAGAAACATTGAACGGAGATGATTAAACAGGGATATCCAAACACAGATAACACAACATTGATAACATAACATAGATAGAATACCATAGATGATATAACATAAATAACATAACATAGATAGTATACCATAGATGATATAACATAGATTATTGCAGAGATAACATAACATAGATAACATAACACAGAAAATATAACACAGATAACATACCATTGATAACATGACACAGATAGTATACCATAGATGATATAACATAGATAAAACAGCACAGATAATAAAACCTAGATGATATAACATAGATAATATAGCGCAGATAACATAACATAGATAACACAACACAACACAACACAGATAACATAACATAGATAACATAACACAGATAGTATAGCATGGATGATATAACACAGAGATAAGAATATAACTAACAAGATAATAGAGAAAAAAGCCAGCTATTTCTTCGTACTGGTCAATAGTTGAGAAGACACTGAGTAAGAGGCATTTGAAGACCATTAGGAACCTGGAAGATGGATTGATTGATCGATTGACTGATGAAATAAATGAATAAATAAATGAAGAAATGAATAATTGATTGATTGAATGAATGATGAATGATTGATTGATTTATTGTATGATGATGTGGTTGGTTATTATTTTTATTATTAAAATTAATTTTGTTGTGTTTAATTGTTGTTACTTTAATTGACTTATTAATTTATTTATTTAGTTTAAACTGTTGGTTGATGAGTTATAAGCTGTTGTCCGATTCAATTAAGAAACAATGATGATAATATTTGATTAATCAAAAAATGATTTATTTAAAAGTTAATCTGAAAAAATAATTTTTTTTCAAAAATATACATGTATTCGTGAATGTTAACTGGTGATGTTATTAACCCTTTGAAAACAGTTCAATCGCTCGTTTGTGAGTCTTTCGCTAATAGAAATGCTAACTAATTACATCTTTAGAGCGCCATCAAATTTAAATGAACTTATTCCTTGGGGCAGATGAGCTTATCGAGGATTTATCTGAGATTGCTTCGCTGTTTTAAATGCGTTTTGTTGAAAGTATTTTGGGTATTGTCAGAAATTGATTATTTTGTCATTTAGAAGAAATTAAAAAAGGTTTTGACTTGATTGTTTGGAAAAACAATTTTTTTTAAATAACGAACATTCTTAATAAATTATTTATATAACTGCAAATTGTCATATTAATTTTCATTAAAAAACTATTTAAATCAAATATAATACTCAATAGTTAGATTTTATTGAGATTTATACTTAGACTTCGTGTGGAATTTAAGAAAGTTCATATATTACAGATGAACAACTTATATGTTAAAGTTAAAATTTGTGAAACTTAATATCATATGGATAATTTTTGTTTTTTTATGGAAAACAAATCTAATCAAGGAGGTTGATGTCACTTTCTGTTAGGATTTTGAGTTGTTACAAGTTTAAATAAATGACTGTGGTGTGTTCTATGCGTGCAATGACTGCTGACATTTTGTGCCGTGAAGATTTTTTTATGTCTTTCATTTTTTTTTTACTGGCCTTGTGAGCTTTTAATTATATATCAACAATTTTTTGAAAATTTCAAACATCCAAGATAATTTATCAAAGTTTTAAACATGGAAAGTTTTATTATCTGATTAATACGGGCAAACGTCGGTTAATTTAAATAAAAGCGTTTAATTACTTCCACTTAGGACGACTTTTAGTTAAAATTTTCAGATACTAAGTATTATAAGGTTTATTTTTACAAAATTTTCTTAATATAATCTGTGTTAAAAAGGAAAACTTACTTGCACCGAAACAGAAAAAATATAAAACGACGAAATCCTCATCCACTCATGCATTTGTTGGAACAAACTTGTGAAAAAGTACTTGACTACAAGATGAGGGAAATTAAAAATGTCATGTACATTTTAAGTGCAGCATTGTCCTTGTAACGATCAACAAGAGTACAGTGCAGTACAACAACAACAACAATGTACGGTAGAATGCAGTACAATAACGTGGCGATGACGGTGGTGACAACTACTCAAACTGGCACAGCATACAAATTAACACAAAGGACAAAAGAATGAAAATAATTTTGAGTTTTCCATTGAGATTTTTTCAATGAAACCCAGAAACTTAGTGTGCATTTAAGACAAAACAACTTTCAAATATTCGTGCTTCAAACTGAATTTCTATTGTTTGCATGAAGACAAGTTATCTTATAGTAATGAATTGTGTTTGTATAATAGTAAAAGATACAAACGTTAGCTTCGTCGATAAGAAAAAAACATTTTGTTTCACCAAAAAATAACAAACACACAACTGAATACGTCGACACAGTTGACTAATCAATCAATTAGTTGATGGCTGATAATAAGCAAAGCAAAATAAGATTTGTGGAGAAAAGGATTGATGAAGTGTGTAATCTTACGCGACGTTTTGTTAGATATCCCACCATCCATCTGCAAATTTCATCCAAACCAAACAAATTTAAATTATCAAAAAATTGGATTTTTAATTTACGAATGTAAAATGGATGATGCTCTATGGCTGACCTTTTTGCATGAACCAACTCTAAAACAACAAAAATTCTGTTGATGATAAAAACAATGTATTATGTTAATCAGTATAATAGTTGTTATTAACGTTATGGTTGTTCTTTTTATGTTATGTTATTGTCTTTGATGTTATTTTAACGTTTTATAATTAAAAAATTTAAGCATAGTTCATATTTTTTGTTATTCCGATAATAATTCATTATTATTACGATATTATTCCGATATTACGATATTATTCCGAAATCTCTCGCACAAAGTATAATACTGTTTATTTTTACGACATTTTTTGATAAATTGTCACCTCTTTCAATTCAAATTCAATAACATCAACATTAAAAGCAACAGCAATAACGTTAACAATAACAACAACATCAACGACGACAGAAATGGGATATTTGGACTAATTAACTTGATAGCGCTCAATAATGATGAGTCAAAAAGCGGTGAGAGTGTTTGTTAATGTAATGCATTAAACGAAATTGTGGCCGTATGTGTGTGTTTTTGTGAGTTTCTCTGTGTGTGTGTTTGTGTGAGTTTCTCTGTGTGTGTGTTTGTGTGTGAGAGAGATCCATTCCATTAAACGGTGTGTTGTTTATGTTATTACGACGGGGAAAAAAAATCAACAAATGGATTTGGTATGCCTGCCATGTGTAGGTAAATTATCATTTGGTGCAGCGCGTTTGCTTGATGTACGATGGAGATTAAGAAGATAATGTTCGATCTGATTATATCGCTCTGGTGATAAATTTCCTGATGGAGATGATGGTTTAAAAATTATTAATGGAATTATTCAATGATATAAAATGTTTTTTTTTTCATGATAATGCCAACAATTCTGTAGTCATGCTGTTTGAGATTGAAAATAATGAATAATAATTATATTGAATATGAAAGGGATTATGTCGTGACGACGGAGAAACAGTGTGCTGATTGATGCGGAAATAAAAACAAAGCTGCGAACTCGTGAATGATGACGTCATTAATGATGGTAGGAAGTCAGGTTGGTACCAAAGATAGAAAATGTGACAATGATAAAATTTACCGTTGGTGATGGTCATTTTGACAACCGTAACACTATTAAGAATAGTGGCTAAAATAAATAATTAAGGAAATTTTCTATCTGAAAACGTTACTTTGCTTGGCTACTAATTATAGCTGCTATTACTACTACTACTATTACTTCTACTACTACTTCTTCTTCTACTACTACTACTTACTACTACTACTACTACTAAAACTGTAGTATAATTCTGAAGTTTTATAACGCTTCCATTGATAATAGCAGATACTAGACTCGTTTTTAAAATAAACGTTGAGAAAACATGAAAAGAGGTAGAAGTTGTTTGTTCAACCCAACTTTGCAAACATCTTTCAACCAATGGTTTGAAAGAACGTTCATTCATTATATACGATAATACAGGTGTATGATAGTTATTGAATTTGATCCACGTGTGGTGTGCTGGATGTTTGTTTGCCCAGGTTTATAGAGTTTTCAAAATGCACTTTGATATTTTAAGCTGTCACAAATGAACTACGACAACATTTTTAGCAGCATCCACCAGATGAAACCATTGATGATATTGACTTTTCAGGGTCTGTTCAGGGAATGTATGGTTATCCTAAACAGTATTGTTCAAAGGAAATGTGCTTCAGCATATTACCAAACGGGGGAGAAAAGAGGTTGGCAGAATTACTACAAATCTACGGCTTCGCTTTTTTGTTACACCTTTTAACTGTTTTTTTACATCTTCGGAATTGCAGTTTATTACTGGTTTCAGCGATTGGAAGCATGCTACAAAAGGTTTTCAGAATATGAAGGCGGTGTTGAACACCAAACACATCTATGCTGGCATATATAAAACAGAATACCAATGCTCAGAACAATTGACTCACAATTGATGCGACTATCGATATTGGAGGGAAGTTTTCAAACATGTGGCTGCAGTAGTCCTCTTCCTGACAGAATGTAGTTTGTCTTTCAAAAGTAAAAAATAAATTATTAGATCAGCTAATGGCGTATAGCCGGGGTGTTTAGAACTCCTGGCAACATTCAATCAATTTTTGCACACCTCTTTTGAGTTTGGATTGTCAAATAATGTGGGCCTATAAATCGAAAGGTCAGTTTCGGGAGCCACCAAATGCATTTCAGCCAGGGCCCAATAAGGTTTTAATCCGGCACTGGATTTAGTAAAATTAAAGTTTCAAATGTTTCTTGAAATGCTTTTTACTATGAAATAAATTTTTTAAAGAGCTTTAAAACATCTTTTTAATACAACTTTTATTTAAATTTATATTAACAGATGTTAAAATTCAGCACTAACTAGGTCTAAGACTTAATTAAATAATTTTTATTCAAAGAACGATTTTGTTTCAATTAAGTTTTGAAATGTTTGCAATATATTCTTGAAAAATTCAATTTTAATTTCTAAAACGACAATAAAACCTGCTGTTGATGTTCTTAAACTTGTTGTATCAAACTCCGACTTTTTGTGCTCACGTTGTCTGGTATTTTTTTTTTAAGAAAATAGGATGAGTGTTAATCTTGACATTTTAGGGTTGTATTATTACATGAGAACCTGTACACATTTTTCAAATTCTGTCATCTTCTATTTATACATTACTTTATTTTAATTATTTTCAGACATCAGGTTAACTTTCTCTTAAATTTTTTAGTGTAGAGTCAACTTGGAAAGAACTTGGTACGATGCGATGAAATTTTATATTTTTTTAATAATCGTCATTGCAGACAAAATTGCTCCTTTATAATAATAATTTAAATTAACAACTGCAACAACAACAACTAAAGTTAGATAACAAATCAACAAAACATAACATACCAACAACTCAAAATACATAACGTAACAACGACATAAGCAGAAGCCAAAGCCCTACAACATTATAACAACAGAATTACAAAATTATAGTAACTACCAATGAAACAATTTTAAGAGTAGGAAAA